AGCAAGAATCCATGGAGGATTTGAGAGATAGCAAGCTCGAAGAAGGTCAAAAATGGGGGAAGAATACGAGCTCAGAGGATAAGGTTCCTTGGGGAAGAAGACCCCCTTTTATAGGTGGGCAAAAATCCAATCGTTATGCTCACAGCCCGCACAGAGCGGTACTACCGCTAGGACGGCGGAAGCCCTTTGAAAAACAACAGCGAGGAGGCAAAAGGCCAGTAGAACTGCTGGAGTGATACTACCGCTCGTCCTCATGGTACTACCGCTAGGGGTAGCGGTACTACCGCTAAGGGTAGTGGTACTACTGCTTGCGAGCGGTACTAAAAAATACATCCGTGCCTACCACCGCTGGACTTAAAATGAGATTTTGGTCCGGAGCGGAAGTAGCCATGGTAGTAGCCGCGGTAGTACCGCTCTGGAGCGTTAGTAAGAAATTACATCCACTCCAAGCGGTAGTAGCCGCGGTAGTACCTCCGCAACCTTTTAAGGACACCAAAATAGCCACAACTTCTGTAAACGAACTCTGAATTCAACGAAACCAAGTTTGTTGGAAAGCTAACGAGATGGGCTAACACAATCTTGATAGAAATAACACTAAGAAGTAAATGATAAAAGTCCCATAAGAAAATGGTGAGAACCCTTCCTCGAATAAGACCGATAAAACCTCCAACACCGAAAACGCAATAGAGGAAGCATATGAACTCCGTTTTCGATCTACTAGAGCTTGTGACGAAGATAACCACAAGATCTAAAACCTCAAAAAGAGAAAGTACAAATAAGAATCAAGAAATAGGATGCAAGGATGCAATGGTTTGAGCTCTCGATGAACGATACGATCAAGCTACTCACTTGAGAGCCCCCTTGATAGTACGACTATCGATCCTATAACCCAGTCTTCAAACTATCACCACGAGACCGGTAAAATAGAAAACCTATAAAGGTAAAACATTTGCCTTGCACGAAGGCCACTTGAGCTAGATGATGATGATCTTGGCTCCTTCAAGTTGGACCACCTTTCGTGATTGCGTTGGCTCGATGAAGGCTAGTTGATTGCTCCCCCATACTCCAGTATGGGTGAGTCAATCTTCGGCACACCTTCGCAAGTCCATTGTCACCACAATGGACGGCAAGCTACAAGCATGATTTCTTCGTGATGCCCCTCTTAAACTTGCACAACACAACCTTGATTTGATGTCATTCTCCATGGGTTGTATGTGATCTTCCTCTTGACACAAGCCCATGGAAGCAAACCTAACCCCACATAGAACTCTCACAAAGACCATGGGTTAGTACACAAAGCGCAATGGACAATGCTTACCAAACCGTGAGATCACTTGATCCCACTCGATCTATCTTCTATGCTTTGTGTGGAATTTTCTCTCTTCATAAAGATGGTGTCTTGAAGATACACATAAATGTTCACACAATCTTCTTCTTCAAGACATGCTAGCAATTAGCTCAACACCCACTAGACCAATCTTTGGATAGATCCTTGGATACCACATTGGTCTACACATAAACTCCTTGAAACCAACAAATGAACTCAAGCCTATGGATAAATCCTACGAATATAAATCAACGCAACCATTAGTCCATAGAGACTGTCATCAATTACCAAAACCAAATATGGGGGCACCGCATGTTCTTTCATCCTCCATCTTCCATGGCATAGGCTCCCCATCATAAAAGGATGAACGAGTCTCTGGGGTCTTGAAACTTGCAGCTAAACTCATACCTTTAAACCTTGCCTCATACTCAAAATTTTGCATTTCCTTTTTGCAGCGTAGCCTAATGCTTTTTCCTTTGACCAAAAACACTTATGTTGACGTGCACCACATGTGCGTACATACTAGTATATTTAATTTAATATCAAGAGGCCTAAAAAGGCCAAGTGGTGGAAGGAGAATTGGGCCACCAAGGTCCATGTAGGGGTGACGCAGGCCGAATTGGACTTGGGGGAGGAATCCTCCTCCCCCTAGGGCCTACGCTGGCGCCCCCTCCTCCCCTCCCAACCTATATATACGCTGGCGCCTCCTACAGTTCTTCTAGTTCTAGTTCTAGTTGATCCTAGTTGACTAATTAGAACTTGACCTAGTTTCTCTAATCCTCATAATTAGAAGTCCACTGTGGTTCTAATCACCTCTCTCTAATTCTCCGGTGACAATTAGCTCTAGGCGGCGAAGCGCTGCCGAATCATGAAGACCGTATGCTTGCAACCAAGTAGAGAGGTCGTGCTTTCGATCTTCTGTTCGAGGGATCGTTCGAGAGGTCGTTCAAGGGCAGTTCGCGAGATCGTCATCATCAACGGTTCGAGTTTCCTTGTGTGTTTTGGCTTGTTTTGCTGCTTTCTATTGGTCTTTTTGGACGACTCGCCCTGTTGACTGCTTGTTCAAAATGTCCGCCCTACTGCAGCATTGGAGTCCTCTCGTTTAAGCTGGAAATCTCGACATCGTCTCCATGATCATCTCCATGACTCATGCTTTTGCCATCGCCCTAAGTCTTGCCCCTGCTCCATCTGCACTTCCTAGACCATAGCTTATTCTTCCTTGGATGTCATTTTGGTGGTTGTTGTGCCTTTTGGCTAGACCTTTGTGGTCTGTACTTGGCATGTGCCGTATTTTAAGTTGCTATCTCTAATGCCTGTATGTGGTTGACTTGTCGTGATGATTGCATTTATAAAGGTGGGCTCCAGGGGAAATACCCTTTGGTTCCTAGGTGTGTATACACCCAGAAATTGGAAAAAAATAGTAATTACAAAAAATTCAAAAAAAAGTTCATAAGTTTTCCTAGAATAAACTTGACCTTTTTTGCACTAGTATGTAATTTTCCGCCAACCAAAACCCAACATTGACTTCAGGGCGAAGAAAACAAAAAATTTGGTCAAAATAGTGTGAATAGTGTCTTGTATATAGCAATATTTTTTGTTTATTTTTTTGCATGGAAGTCAACATTAGGTTTTGGTTGATGAAAAATTACATACTGGTGTAAAAGAAAGTCAAGTTTATTTCAAAAATACTTTTGAACATTTTTGTCTTTTCTTGTATTTTTTCCAATTCTTAGGGGTATATACACCTAGGGACCAAACATCCGCACCCCGAGGGTCAGTTTGGATGTACGGTGTGTTCGTATTTGGTCAACATCCTGTCTCCCCCTTCTCAGTTTTTAAGACTACCAATAGTGAGGGGTAACTTAGACTAGTAATATGCATATGTTAATAGTCTATGTTACTACCTCTATAGTGGGGAGTAACATATGTTGGTGTCATGCAACACTTAATTTATTAGCTTGTAGACTTATCTTATCTTGATATGTGTGATGTTACCCATAGTATGAGTAACTAGCTATGTTACTCAAATCATCTCTTTCATTAAATCATTGCCACATCAACAAATTTGCTGAGCTGGACTCTATGTTAATACTGAAGTTAGTCCTACTATGGGCAGTCTAAAAAAGAGGTCTGGACTTTTTTTAATACTATAAACGTACTATTTTTTTCAAACGGATGCCATGTTTATAATATAATTCTAAAATTTTAACCAGAGCCAAACACCTCAAAAATATTTGGAACCATAGTTTTTCAAGAATACCACAGTATCCTGAAAAACTTAAGAAAATACATGGCAAACAAACACACCCTTAGGGGTGTTTAATTTGAAATTCACGGGAATATTGGTCGGTTGGTCCAGCTTGTAACTTATTTCAGTCTAGCAATTTTGAGGGCAGTCCCGAAATGTTTCTCCAAAGTGCATGTGACGGGTCCAGCCCTGGTGCACACATACCTTATCCTCCCACTCCCCGCTTTGCCTTAGCATCAACACACCAAAGCATATCCTCCGGGATGGATTCCCTCCCCTCACCTCCATTACCTTGGACCGGAGAGAGAGAGGGGAAAGAGAAAATAAGGGGTTAGCTAAAATGGCAATGGCCACAGCAAGGCTAATCCACCCATGCATGGTGGTGTCCAAGAGCCCAAGAACGCCACCAGCACCCTTCCTCCTCCACACCAATAAGCCGCTGACCACCGCACTGAGCTCATCGTTTCACTTCACGCTCCACTCCGTCGACGTCTCCAAGGACGACAAGCCGCTGGACGCGGCGCTCGAGACCAAACAAGAAGATGCAACCGCCGCCGCCGCCGGCGACCTGGCGACGCCACTGCCGGGGGAGTTGGACGCGGAGGAGGACAGGCCGAAGCTTGACCCCCGCCGGTTTGAGGAGCAGTTCGCGGTGCTGAACACGGGGGTGCACGAGTGCCGGTCCTGCGGCTACCTGTACGACCAGGCGAAGGGAGACCCGTCCTACCCGGTGCCCTCGGGGCTGCCGTTCAACAAGCTGCCGGACGACTGGCGGTGCCCGACGTGCGGCGCGGCGCAGTCCTTCTTCGACAGCAAGAGCGTCGAGATCGCCGGGTTCGCGCAGAACCAGCAGTTCGGGCTCGGCGGCAACTCGCTCACATCTGGCCAGAAGACGCTACTCATCTACGGAAGCCTCCTTGTCGGCTTCGCCTTCTTCCTCTCCGGCTACTTCTTGCAATGATTACCGAGCTAGGCGCCATCCTTTGATCCATTCCAGGAGGCTTCTTGCAATTAGTGAAGAGGAGAAACTAAGTAAGGCTGTTACCGGGTTAATCTTGATAAGTACTGTACTAAATTTGTGTGTATAGATACCTATTGCTTCTGCTACCAAGCGCCCAGCGAGGGGCGATGTATAGCAGAGGGGAAATGGGACATTTGTTTTGAGGTGCTGGCTATAATTTTCTTGTGAATGCAGTTCGCGGACAAATTTGGACTAGAATTGCTTCGAGTGGTTAGGCCTGAATCCCCTCTCGCAAGGCCACTGTTGAATATTTGAGCATTTTTTCATAAAGTTTAATTCAGAAAAATGGTAAATAAAACATGATAATCAAAACACAGATGATAATCGAATCAAGAAACAGATTCATGGAACTAGTCTTGCAATCGAAAACCAAAAGAATAAATATCATATCCACATCGATTCTGCTAGTAAAAAGCAAACCCTAAAACAAACGGATAAAAAAGCATACAGATCAGGTCCCCGCGTCGCCCCCCGCTCGGGCGACTCCGATGGCTCTTCAACCCTAGCCGCCGCCGGGGCCTAGCCCATCTTTCTCCCCTCCTCCCGCCGCCGCCGGAGGCAGCCGCCGGCTTGCGCCCAGAGGCCGACGGCGGGGGCGGGGGCTCTTCCCCCCTTCCGCGTCTCAGGGGTGGCGGGGCCCCAACATGCGTGGAGGTGCGGCCGATCTAGAAGCGACGGCGTTGGATTCGACGGCGGCGGCGGTCGGCCCTGCCTCGGACCACGGGCGGCTGCTGCGGTGGCGGGCCTGGATCAGGCGGCGGCGCGATGCGGTCTTCGGCGGCATGTCAATTGGCTTTAGATCGGCGGCGGCGTCGAGGGCCTGGTGGACTGCTTGGCGGCACCCATGGCAGATCTGTTCTGGCCGGTGTAGCCAGTAGTGGTGGCCATCTTCTTCGTCGGCGGTGGCCGGCCAGAATCTTGGTGATTGGATTTCGAGATCCATCATCTAGTCTCGGCTGCGAGTTGGGGAGACATGGTTGCCGGTGAAAACCGAGCCGATGGTAGGCGATGGCGGCGTTCTACGTCGTTACCTTGATGAAGGCATCGCCCTGTAACTACTGTCGACCCACTCGTACTGCTCCGGAGGAAACCCTAGGATCTGGTGTTTCAGATCGGAAGATGGCGGCACTACGGTGTCGTTTCTTTCTTGGGAGCATCGTTTGTGGAGTAGCGTTGGAAGTCAGAGGCGGAAGGTGGAGCGGCTTCGTCTTGCATGGAGCTTCGGTGGAGATGTCAAGTCATGCCTGACCGACAGGTGCTATGCTTTGTCATGCCTGGTCGCCAGGTGCTACGCACGACAGATCTTCCAAGAACTTTAAGTTGTGTCGGCTGGTGGTACTTGGCAGCATGGCGCTGAGGTGTATCAGTGGTGACCGCTGTTTGCGCGCAGGGAGGGGGTGCCGTTGGGCGCCGTGGTGGCGTCGACGATAGCTAGACCGAGCAAGGTTGATGCGTTAGTACAATTCTGAAGATGGAGCGGTGGCAGTTGGCAGCGGCGGCCTCTGAGAGCACGCCGGATCAGTGTGTGCCCCAGCCCCGGCAAGTGGCTAGGTTGGGGTCTCAAGTCGTAGATGTTAGGCTTGGCTGCAATATCTGTTTGGTATTAGGCCCAGTCTATCTGCGCCCCTTCATCAACTGGATAGGTGTAGCGACAGTTTGTTGCTTAGACGGCGACTTTAGTCTTACTGTTATATCACTTTGTAAAGTCTTGTGAAAATAATTAATAAAGTGACTGTATGCATCGTCCAGATGCAGAGAACGGGGGCCATCCTCCTTTTCTTAAAAAGAATACGGCGCAACAGAGGAAGTGTTTGTTTCACAGCGTCATGTTGTGAAGAAGATCGTCAACGTCGGGAAGAAATCATTGTTGGGAAACTCGTCGTCCATTGCCACGGTGAAGAAAATCCAGCAGTTATACGGAGGCGCTCCCCAAAAATTGATCGCCACTCTCATGTAGCAGACCATAAGAAGTGGGATTTAGAAGGCCTACTATCTCACTCCTCGATGCACACCGAAAAGTAAGATGGGAGAACGTTAGGCGGCGCAAGGCTTGAAATCGGAAGGCACTCACGTTGGGAGAGACGAAGTAACATATTACTTCTATAAAGAATGGTGGAGTACCCATCTTCTTGGGCTCGTCGAGGGCGAAGAGAGCCTCCCAGCGTCCATTGTCAGGTGGCTTGCGGCCGGAGGCTCTAGGGGCCAGTGCGAGCCGTCCAATCTCCCCGGACGGCTCGTGCCCTAGCGACTCGACTCGTAGGTTGATGACGGGTGGATCGAGGGTGCGTGATCGCTACAGCCGGCCAGTAGGTTGACGACGTGTGAAGCGAGGGCGTGCAATCGCTACAGTCGGCACATGTCCATGACGGGTGGACTAAGATCGTCATGCGGTGGACCCGCCTTCCTGGGTGATGGCCTAAAAGTGCACATGATTTAATTGTAGCCTTTTTAAAATAAGAGTATCGATCCACAAGGAGCACATGAAATGGTATTTTGTCTCTCGTAGTGACTTATGAAATTGTACCTGCAAGTAATTGTAGACTCAAAGCAAAGTAAAGGCAGAGAATGAATATTGGTTTTGGTGAAGTGTGGACTTTGACTTTGAGTCAGTAATATAAACAGAAAAAATAGTAGAGAAAGTGACATGTGAACTGAAAGATGTGTAAGGCGTTCTCAGGGTGTCGGAAATTTTTATTAGTATGTTTCTAGCGCTATCTATACAACAACATAGTATTTATAATACCTAAATAGTTTATCCCCACTACTATATTACTCTTGACATGCAAGCTATCCACCTCATTAATCTGCCACATCAGCTTTTTTTCAATCAAATTATTAATAGACCGGCCTCTCATGCATTCACATCATCGTTTTCCCTGCTACTGAGGCTAGCGCACTTGATCAGTTGTGGACCTTAATGAAGGGCACGTCTTAATCTTTCTTAAAAAAATCTCTACAGTAAAGGCACCCACGAGTTGGAATTCCAAAGCACGGCCAAAGGCTGGCCTCCTCCGCTTCCCCTTCCTGTATAACTATCTTTGTTTCACGCCTTCTCCCCTTCAGTTCTCGACCCACTTCCTTTTCATATGTATATATGTTCACCTCATCTGCACATCGCTCCCTCGCCTCCTCTCACACCTGGTCATTGCCTCCTGATCATGATTCTTATGATTGATGACGCCTCAACCTGATTGTAGGGATGTCGGGGATCTTGCTCTCCTTTGAGCGTTGGCACTCGATGCCTGTAACACCTCGGGTGTCATGCTACAATAAACTCCTGTTAATGGTGCCATGTCATCATAATTAAAAATTGCTAATCCTCACGTTGTTCCAAACCGACCTCAAATTCAAATTTCAAATAACAAGTCAAATTCTTATTTCTTCAAACTGTCAAATAAAAATGTTCTAGGGTTTGAAAATATTCACTAAGTATTTAACATGTAGGAACCAACCTTAAATGGATTTTTAAATTGCCCTAGGCATAATTTAATTGGACAAGCAACACTTATTATGCCCATTTAAATATAAACCTATTTTCAAACATTTCCAAATAACCTCAATTTTCTTGGACAACACCAAAATATCAGCAGGTAATTATGTGGGAAGTTTAGACTGTAACTAAAACCATTTAATATCTAAACTAAATACAAAACAATAGCTATAAAAGGAAACAGTAAACAGAATGTAAAATATAAAAAAACTAAGCTACTGGGCACTTGGCCCATCTGGCAAAATGGGCAGTGCAGCCCAGCCCAGCAAAACCCCCCAGTTCTCTCCTTCCTACTGCTCACAGGAGCGTGGTGGACACCTGTGCGTCGTCCATGGCGCGGCTACCGCACGCGTCGCCTATCCCGCATGCCGCCAAGCTGTATAAGACCCTCCCCACCCCGTACTCGAACCCTAGCTCCATTCCCCTCGCTCTCTCGCTCACCATCTTCGATTTGGACGCGCCCGATTACCCAACCGCCATGGTCGTCGTCTTAGCCATGGCCACCGTGGTCCCCGCCGGCTTGGAGCTTGTGCAGCAGCTCCATAGTGGTCGTCTGCATATTCTACTCTACCGGATCAAGGCCGGGGAGCATCATCCGCGACGCTCGCGCCTTCTTCCTCCGCCATGGCCGTCCAACGCCGTCGTTCGATCCGCATCATCCCGGCGACCTCCGGTCTCCCCGAGCTCTCCATCGGTCTCACAGTGAGCTCCTCTTTGGATTCCCCCGCTTTCCCCCCTTCCTCCCGTTGTTGTTTGCCGCCGTGCACCGTCGCCACCCCGGCTTGTGTGAGTTCGCGCTCACCGTGGCTGCACCCACCTCCACGCGTGCGCCCGCGAGCCCCTAGCAGCGCTCGTCTAGGCGTGATGCGCTTCCACGCGCGCCCGGGCCACGCCCCTGCGCCGCGCGCATCTGCCGCCGTTCGCTGGCGCGGTGCTGCGTCGGCGCCTGCCTGCTGCTCGCTGACCTCTGCTGCCCTCTGCTCCGCCGTAGCTGCTGCCTGACTGTTGCGCTGCCGTCGCCGCTACCGACGCCGCTGCCCTGCTCCCCAACGCGCGTCCGCGTGCTCCGGCCACGCCCGAGCCCCGTCCTACTCGCCGCCTACGCCTACTGCCGTGGCTGCCACGCCCGGCGCTGCTCCCGCTTGCCTGCACGTTATTGCAGCTGCGATACTGCTTGCTACGCCCGACCGCCCACGCTCGGCTCTTTCCATCGCTGCTCTGCCTATACTGCTAGGTACTGTAGCTGCTAGTTAGCTTTACTGATATTACACGGACTAGAACTCTAAACAGCCCCTAAACAGCGTTAAGACAAGTCCTAACATGGGTAAAAATAATAAGAACGTTAAGACAAGTCCTAAATGGGTAAAAATAATAAGAGCGGAAAGTAGATGTAACAAGCTTCATTTTGTTCCATTGGACCTGCTTCAGATAATGCGTGAATTAATTCCTA